GAGATTACCAATAAATCAGAATTCTCTGATCTAATCTGGCTAGCGATTGCGATAGATGTTGAGCACAGCGTTACCACACGTGATCTGGTGCGGATGCATGACCGAGCGCCTTCAGCTAGATGAGTCCACTAAAACATATGGTCAGGATCCAATGTCAAAAACTTACAGAGCTATTTAGTTTGAGGATTTATTTACCGCTACATATCACTGCCCCACTAGGGGGGGAGTGTGACTCTAAGACGTGGCCAGCCAGAAGTTTAAACCCAACGAGTCTGTCGTTGGTAAACACTCTTCTGATAGTTAACTAAGTTTAGCAGCGTCTGGTCGTCTTTCCTTACTATATGGGACTGAGGTACAACACAGTAAAAAAAGAAAAAGTACAATGAAAATTTCGGCTTCTCGTAAACTGCATCGTTCTTTTCCAGCCGTCCTGGAAAAGAAAAAAGAAAATGTAAGTGAATATCAAAATACGCTCGTATGTGCGTAAAAACACAATCTCGGCGAAAAAATCGAAAATAAACACAAGCACACGTAGTAGCGATAAAACAATTGGTTTTTTTGTTCGTTTTTTAAAATATAAATATATAAGCATATTAAAATTTTTTTAAAATTATTATATATCGTAAAAAGGAAGATCGAGATAATATCAAATGTCGAGTAGTGCTTTACGTGCAGTAGTCATTTAAATGTTCTGGAAATCTTACTCTTCTTCCAGAACGTGTCGTTTTAAGTTTATTTTCAGACACATTCGGAGTGTCATCGCTAGTGTTGGTTGTTGGTTAAGGAATTATGAGTGTAGGAGTCGTGTTGTGCGATTGTACCGAAGAGAAATCGACGTGAATAGGATTTCCTTCTAAATACGCTACTTCGAGGCGATCGATGCTGATGCTATCGTTTGTTCCGTTCTTATCAAATATATAGTACTTAGATTCGCATTGAAGAACTTTGAAAGGTCCTTCGTATGCTGATTCGAATGGTCGTCGATGTGCGTCTCGACGAACGAAAACGTGTGTACTATCTCGTAAGTCAGGTTGAACGAAAACATTGGTGGATTGTGGTCGAGTGGAAGCAGGTTTAACTGAACGCATTGCGTTTGTAAGCCTGTTCGTGTAGGAGGTTAGATCCATGTTCATTGAAGAGGATGAAGGATACAGGAATTCTCCTGGAAGTCGAAGTGTCGTTCCATAAACGAGTTGAGCTGCAGTGTATCCAATGTCAGCTTTCACTGCATTGCGGATACCTAGTAAGACGAGCGGAATAGCGTCGGTCCACTGTGAAACGTTTGCAGGTGATAGTGAAGCTTTTAGTTGTCGGTGAAAACGTTCTGCTAACCCGTTTGCTTGTGGATGGTAGGCGGTCGTTCGGAAGCGAGTGATTCCTAAAAGTGTGGTCAGACGACGGAAAAGTTCAGATTCGAACTGACGTCCGCGGTCTGTAGTGATGGTTGAAGGGCAGCCAAAGTTTGCTACCCATCGTTCGACGAAGGTGTGGGCCACTGTTTCAGCAGTGATGTTCTTGATAGGTACTGTTTCTGGTCATCAAGTGAAACGGTCAACGCAGGTTAAGAGTATCCATTTGAAGCTGGTGAGGGTCCTACCAAATCCAGATGAACATGGCTGAAACGGGCATCGAGAAATTTAAATGAACCCAAGGGACATTCATTGTGTCTGATGACCTTAGATTGTTGGCAGCTTATACAGGAGCGTGCCCACTCCCTCACGTCTTTATTCATACCAGGCCAGAAAAACCGTTCTGCTATAAGCTTGATGGATGCACGAACACCTGGATGAGAAAGTTTGTGCAATGTGTTGAAGACATTGTGTCGATAATGTCTCGGCACGATTGGGCGATCCCTACCTGTAGATGTGTCACAAAGTAAGGTTTCCTTACCAGTTCCCATCTGTTTGATGCGTAGTTTAAGGGTTGTGGACGATAACTCGTGCTGAAGATCAGTGTCTTCTTTTTGAAGCTGGGCGAGTTTAAGAAGGTCGATTCCTTGAAAACTGTTCAAGGAAGTTATACGAGACAAGGCGTCTGCAACTACATTGTTTGCTCCAGAAGTGTGTTGGATATCTGAAGTGAAGTGCGAAATGTAATCCAGTTGTCGAGACTCACGGGGCGAGTACTTGTCTGAAGTAGAGCTTAACGAGAAAGTGAGCGGTTTATGGTCCGTGAAAAGAGTGAATTCACAACCTTCGATGTAGTGTTGAAAATGTCGTACAGCACAATACATAGCTAGGAGTACCCTACCGAATGTGCTGTACCTCGATTCGGTGTCTATCAACCGTCTAGAGAAAAATGCCAAAGGTTGCCAGGAGTTGTTAATCCATTATTGTAAGACTCCTCCGATTGCTGAGTCGAATGCGTCTACTGCGATACTGATGGGTGCTTCGGTGTCCTGATGTGCGAGCATTGTTGCTTTAGCGATCAGTTCCTTAACTGTGGAGAATGCTTTTCGTGCGGTGTCGTCCAAATTAATGGATTTCGCATTTCCACGAAGTTGGTCGGTAAGAGGTTTCATAAGTAATGCGCATTTCGGTATGAAGCGTCTATAGAAACTTACCAGGCCGTTAAACGTGCGTAATTGCTTGACGTTGGTCGGTTCTGGGTAATCCAGAATGGCCGCCACTTTGGTCCTAAGAGGTCGAATGCCTTGAGCATCTATAGTGTGACCTAGGAAGTCTAACGAGTCGGTTCCGAATTTGCATTTCTGAGCGCTTACAGTAATGCCATGTTTTTGTAGTCGGTCGAAAACAAGATCCAGATGCTTGAGATGTGATTCTCTGTCCGGACTTGCGATTAGGCAGTCATCAACATACGCATGTACGAAGTTGAGACCTCGAAAAACGTTGAAAATCCAATGAATGGGTTTGCGTAAACCCACGTTAAGGTAAACGTACCTTTTGTCATACGTAGCGATCGGTTTTCTATTTGCCGCCTGTAAGTTTAGAGCCAATTCGTGGAGCCGGTCGTTAGGATTTGCTGGGAGAACGCTAACTTCTGCGCCAGTGTCGACGAGGTAGCAAACTCTCGTTGTCACATCTGTGACGTCCAACAGACGGCTATGTTCGCCGGCTACGGTTACTTTTAACGCGTGCCAGCTTGGAAGTTTCCCGAGTTGTTTTTCGAGTCATTCGCATTCGTGCTGGGAAAATTGAAGGGTTTTCTGCAATTTCTGGAAGACTTTCCATACTGGTTATGATACCAACACCAGTCGTGGTTATCCGTCTCTCGTGGTCTAGAGACAGATCGCTTACGTGAAATGCTTCTACGTGGGATGTGTGAGCGACTACGGTCGTTACGAAGATTAAGATAACGCGTGAGTGTATGACATAACTCGGTTATGTCATTCTGAGTCGTTTGAGGCTTTTATTTGACTGAAAATACCTCTGTAGTAGACGATTTCGTTATTTCTAAAATACGATCGGCAGATGCAACCAGCTCGTCTAAGGCGTCGTTTTGAAACGAGACAAGCACAGTTTGCACCTGTTGAGGAAGTTTAGACAGTAAAAGTTGTTTAAATAGGCCATCATCGAAAATTCTTAGGCCAATCACTTCTTTCATTCGTTGCAACATGTCCGTCGCAGAACCGTGTTGCAGGTCGATGTTATTGAAGAGTTGATCTAACCTTTGTCGATCGGTTAGGTCTCCTCGTTTAGGAATCGAACGTTTCAGGATTTCGTAAGGTTCGGAAACATCACTAGTAAACATACTAGGTGTTACGTACCTGTTTAATTCGCGCGGTAGTGCCTTGATTACTGCGAGGAATTGTGCACGTGTGTCGATCACGCTGTGCTCGGAGAAGTCAGCTTCTGCGTAACAGAACCAGGCTTCGATATTGTCGGGCCAGAAAGGCATCAGTTGAAACGAAGGCGGGGACAAAGTCTTAAGTTTGAGTACTTTGGGTGTCTGTTCAGTCATGATGAAATATGAAGTACGATAATGAACGAGGGGAAATATATATATATATATCCAAGAAAAAACACGAAAAAATGACAATGTTCAAAAAATAGAAAATAAGGCAATGATATATAAAAATCGCAAAAAGGAACAGACTCACAGTTGCAATTAGGTGTACCAGATCACGTCGGGCTCACCAATGAGGATGATACAGGTATTCAGTGTTTGACAACGCTTCTACCAGTAACACCTTCTAATATACTTTGTTCCCACCGAGAGAAATCAAAGGACAGAGTCGAGGAGATCGGAAGAGTGTATTTGGCGATAACCAATATATCGGGAATCTCTGATCTAATCTGGCTAGCGTTTGCGGTAGATGTTGAGCACAGCGTTACCACACGTGATCTGGTGCGGATGCATGACCGAGCGCCTTCAGCTAGATGAGTCCACTAAAACATATGGTCAGCATCCAATGTCGAAAAACTATAGAGCTATTTATTTTGAGGATATATTTACAATGGTGGTGAAACGTTAATATGGAAAAATGGGCAACGCACATTTTGGGGATTTCCCTAAACTTTGGGGAAGGTCACTCGACCTTGTGGATTTCCCCAAACTTGGGAGATAGGGATGTTACGGGTTGGTTGCTCAACGAAAACGGAGATAAAGTAATATCACTGAAAATTCGTCCTATACCATGCATCATTACGATGGAATCCACTTCGTTACTTGAAGGATGGACGTTATCAGACATAGTGTAGCTGAACTCAAATCAAATCTAAAACCATTGATTTGACCGCTTCCGAAAAAAACTTGACGATTTGTCGAGTTGACGCACCAATCGTTTTAGGACGGTTTGAGCCGAGAATTTATAAGCATCTCATCGGGGGATTTACGTTAACGGCAATGCCAGCCAACTAATTAGGTTGCTAGGCTTACAGAATCTCCATTATATGCACACTCGCGCAAAGTTAGGGATAGAGTTCCACGAAGTTGTATACACCTTTGCTTTCACCCTAGATATAAACTTTGCAACTAAATTCTAATTTGCCCGATTTCCCTATTTTGTGGAAATTTTCGGGTTTTTGTGCCATTTCTACATTTTCTATAGCGGCTTCTCCAAAACGGATAAAATTTCCCCAAAGTTTGGAGACTAGGTAACTCCATGTTTCCGACTCACCCTGACTATCCTTACTATCGTCTTGAATATATAACAGGTAATAGTCAACAGGATGAAGAACAACAGAATCCTAGATTTTGACTTTTACCCTACCTCATGAGTTACTGAAATCAAGGTCATATCTGCGTGAATGTCCAACATGGTCACAGTACATTTTCCACTTGTAAGATAGCATCTAGAAACAATCTATCTTCAGTGGATTAATAAGAGTGTCAAATTATGTGCAGTAACTTGCTGTGTCGATTTTACTCAAAAAACTATTTTTTAAAACTAGATATCCAATTATTACCTCTGCAGTGCCCCTTCCAGCTATATAGGTTAGTAAAGCCAATTGGCTCGCCTGGGAACACTTACTGATGACACGGCACAACTACCGGGGCCCAATATTTGTTCTCGTCGTTTTGCTTCCCTTCCTGTGATTTTCCATCACTAATGGACCATATAGCAATGACTACTTATTCCTTCCTATATAGGTAATGCTTTCTGACGATCCTTATGATATGATTTTGAATTTTCATCATTTCTCACTCTGATTTTACTTTTTGAATTCGATTAGTCCAAGGAATTGTCTCCTGAGTTCAGATCCATCTTATTTAGTTTGTTATCTGTTCCATGCTCTGGTTGGCATGTTTTCATCCTTTGGCCTTATACTTTTTCAAGCAGTCTTTCGTCGGACATTCATACTCATCTGATATGGGCGTTTATGTCACTTAGGGACCATGATCATCTCGATAATGACGATTCATTTCCTTGTTTGTCACGAAAAGTCGGTTGAAATTATCATTTGGGTTTATTTATTTATTTGCACACAAACATTGGTACAAGGAGGCACCAAGTACGTACAATAACAATGAGGCCAGTAGCAGTTTGGTTTGTGTGAGGGCTGTGATACTGTCCGGGTGCCTAAACCGAAACAGGTCTAATTTAAGTAATTAAGTACCAGCCCTCTTTTATCTATTATACGCGGTTTATACGTACCAAATCTGTCTAATCTTAATCTACTTGGTGTTTATGCAATCTATATGGAGTTACTGTTCAAGTGTCTCCATTTCCCTTAACCAAGTTTTAATGCATACTTCCCCTGAGTTATCCTTAATTTCTATACTACTATTCATCACTATATACATAATATTTCCCATCCTTTTTTGGTGTGCACCATTCATCTAACCTGTTCTCAGCCAAATCTGGTACTCTTTTTAAACTCATTTACTGTTATTTGTTTTCTATTACAAGTCTCTAATACCATACGTCATGAAATGTTTAACTCTATTTCTATCTTTATTGCATCCTTTTGACCCAATACTATTGTTTCTAGCCCGTATGTTAGGATGGGTGTTATTACTGTTCTTATATGCTTTTCTTACTATGCTAATATTATTCGACCTTATGATTGGTCTCATTTTTATGATTGCATGTCTTGCTTTAATTACATTTTTTTCTGGATCGCCTCATCTTTTAGACCCAAGTACTTAAATTAGTTCATACTTTCAATTGTTGCATTGTCTATATGTACTATCCCTTCATCTTCATTTGTGATCATCGTCTTGGTTTTCTTATGGGGTATTCTGATGTCAATTATCTCAAGTTAGTGCATTGTGAAGTAAGAATCTGTTCCTATCAGATGCTATTATGGATCACCAAGAGCTTCCTCTACACTTTCTTGTATGTTTGTGTATATTTTTAACTCATTTATGGTTTTCATTGGCAATGCTTTTAGAACTGTATACAATGCTTTGGTTAGTTCAATAAATGCGAGAACGATTTCGGTTTCAGAATTTAAAGCGCATTGTGTTATATACCTAAGAGTTGTAATTACTTGCGCTGTAGACATGCTTCTTTGGGAGCCAAATTGCGTCAATGGTAAAAACTAATCTTTTCTGTCATTCATTCGGTTACACGCCACTTTAGCTCATACCTTTCTATTGTTGTCAAAAAGGAAAATACTTCTGTAATTGTTTGAATTATTCCTGTCTCTTTTGTTTTTATTTAAACTGCTAACATCAGCATCTATCCTGTGCGTTGGTATTGTGCCTGGGTTTTCCTCAAATTCATTCATTCTCTTTAGGAATACTCCTTTTAGCCTGTCCTTTCCATTTTCTAACCATCTCTGTAGTTATGCCGTTATTTTCTGGCGCTTTATTATTTTTCATTCTCCGTATACCTTGAGCCCACCCATTCTAAAAATAGAACCCTGATCATTCGCTTATCTGTCATTGCTTATGATACATTCCATTGCTTCAAATAACATTTGACAATATTCTTTTAGTACTTCATTTCTTTAGTTAAACATTAAGCACTAAAATTAACAACGCGTATTAGTCTGTCCTTAGAGCTATTTTTAGTTGAAAGTCTAATAAATAAAATATGCAAGCTGTTATATGTGGTAGTGTTCGTATAAAATCTCTAAATGTATATTGTTCCGTTCAAAAGATGTACTATGTTTGTCAAAGTGCTATATACATTTCATGTCCCTCTGTAAGAGCTGATAAATGTACATTCCTCTTGATCTTATAGAACTTCACGAATCACGTAAAGTACTGTGGTACTATAACTTCTTTATTGTACTCAAAGGCTATTAAATATTATCAGTGCTGCTACACGTAGGATTTGTCTCTGTTCATATTCATAAAAACATAAATCTTGGTTCTATAGTGAAATGAAATCCCAAGTGTCTTGTTAAGAAATATTCTATGTAAACTGTTGACATCATGACTAATTTTTATACAAAGTCTGTTAACATGCCCCCAAATGCCCTGGTATGGCCGAGATTGGGGTGGGCCCGCCCTCCCTCTCGAAATGCTCTCACACGGCCACGCGTGTACAGCCTCTGCCAGGGAAGTCCTACTCATTGCCTTCTCGTGGCGGGGGTGTTGCTTACAAAATTGAGAGGACGAAAAGCGAATGTTTATTTATTTTTTTTTTCAACACATAGATAATGGTACAAAGAGGCACCAAATACATATGCGCCACACAAATCTCATTCGATATGTGTGAGGGCTGTGATACTGCCCGGGTGCCCAAACCGAAGCGAATGTCCGGCGCTTTAACCGGATTCCAAACTAATGGTGCACATGGGCTCCAGTATCCTGAAGGAACAAATGGCGTATGAACCAATCGTTGGTCACCGGCTACCATGGGACTGCATCTTCTCACGATGATCCATTGCCTTGTAGGTCAGACCTTTAGGTCCAAGGCTCGGGGTTTGACCCTCTAAGAAAACCGCCTGCTTCGGTCTGGGCACCCGGGCCGTATCCCAGCCCTCACACAAATCGAATGATTTATGTCAGTCAGTCAGCTACAACGTAGGACCAGGCACATATGTGCATCGGTCCAGGTTGCTATACCTCATTAGCACAGCAAGATGAACACCGGATTCATAGGAGTGGTTAGGTCAAAGGTGGTAGTATATAAGAGAAAGATTGCAATAAGGATATAGTATAGGAAGAAAAAATTAGTTAGTAGAAAGAAAGATATGAAGTGATTTTAATCTCTTAGTTTAAGGGAAGACAGTGAGTGTATACACCGACGCCATTGTGACCGATTCTGAGCCGTGTCACCAAGAGTCTCCAACCATTGGTTACGATAGTCACGCAGACACCAACCAAGTAGTCTGCATCTACCAACATGGCCCAGACTAAAAGTTAGTGACTTCAAGCACTGATGCCACGTTTTGGTTTGGCCGCCCCTAACTTTCTTCCAACCATCCCCTACGCCTGTTAGCATTGCACGACGTGGTAATCGGTGTTCAGGCATACGTAACACATGGCCCAACCATCTCAGTCGATAAAGATTAACAACCTCATCAACTGATTTACCATCATTACCTAATACCCTGCGTCGAACCTCACTATTAATTACCCGGTGATCCCAACAGACGCCAGCAATATTTCTAAGGCATCTGTGGTCAAATACTAGTAACTTACGAGTGTCTTCTACTCTTAAAGGCCATGTTTCACTGCCGTAAATTAAAACAGAACGAACTGCCGCGCAGTATACTCGTCCTTTTATTGATAGACGGATATCTCGCCTTCGCCAAAGGTGACGTAAGTTGGCAAAAGCCAAACGAGCTTTTCGAATCCGTGCTGAGATTTCGTCCGATACCAACCCATTAGGGCTGATCAGACTTCCAAGATAAGTGGATTTGTCAATGCGTTCAACTACTTCACTCCCTACCCTTAGTTCAGGTGTTGACGCAGACCAGTCCTGAAACAATAACTTGCATTTAGAGGGAGAGAAGCGCATTCCAAACATTCTGGCATTGTTGCTTAGTGCTACCAGAAGACTGCATTTTGTCAGCGTCTTCACCAAACAGGACTATGTCATCTGCGTATTCTAAGCCGATAAGTGGACCTTCTGGTAGGAGATCAATACCCGAGAATTCAGTCGACGAGAATGTTATTTCCATTAATAGGTCTATGATGAAGTTAAACAAAAATGGAGAAAGTGGACAGCCTTGACGGACACCACTTGAGGTTGCAAAAGTAGATGACAGTTTGCCATAAGCCCTGACTCGATTTATGTAGCGCATATGTATTTGGTGCCTCCTTGTACCAATGTTTATGTGTTTAAATAAAATAAAATCTGTTAACATTATGAGAAAATTATAAGTGTTAGATCAATGTATAGCGATTAGAATGACCAACGGAAATGAGTTCATATATTTATTCCAACAGTCCTATTAACACAGTAGAACTTGATGCATTACTTTGTTTCGTGAAATAATGAGTTGCCCTCGCTTTTTTAACTTCTATGTGATAGAAACTAATGAGAAAGCACTGGCTCATGTAACATGTCGAATTATTCTCATTCCTTGAGGATGAATAATACACATTTCTTAGAATCTGGTAAGTGAAGTTAAATGAACTCGTGGTTTGTTGATTGAGGTTCGACCCCTAATTTATTAATATTTAGCTTCAGAATTCTTTTTTTTTCATTCATAAACTGACTGACACTTTTAAAGTATATTATCATTTTTATTAACAGTTTCTTACTATTTTGACACTTAGTTTTGCTCGACATTTGTCCTACACCAAGGCAAAGCCAATATGGAGTTGTGTTTAAATTACACATGTTATGATTTCTGCTCCCGTCAGTTATCACGTGACAAAATTGTCAATCAGAATGCTGAATTCTGTCACCTTGTCCCTGTTATAAACCAATGACACTTTAGCCAGCACCAGCAGCCTTGAATCATTATTGGTCCTTAATAATAGTAGCTTATCGCCTATCCCTGCTCGTTGATTTCAGAACACAATATCAACCCTCATCGTACGAATAACATATTTCAGACATTCGTAATTTATATACAAGTAGACTAGACCTTATCACACCATTAAATAAAAAATAACAACTATACAAGATCAGGCCAAAAGTGGCTGTAAGTATAAGAGACCGGAACTAACAGATTTGGAATAAACTAAGAACAGCAAATCGTATAATACTAGCCAATATATATATATATATATATATATATATATATATATATATATATATATATATATATATATATATATATATATATATATATATATATATATATATATATATATATATATGAACGTCACGCTCACTTTATTTTACGTATCATTTTATCCGGGATTTTAAAATTAATCACTAAGTTTTATGTAAGTTCGTTCCATATTCAATATAGCTATAGCTTTTAAAGATTTGTTAAGTTGGAATAATATCCTAGGTCCTGTTATGGTTATTTCCAGGTAGTTTCATTGATCTCTGTTGGCTAGGGGTTTAAGACACAACACTTCTTTGTTTTTAGCTAAACATATATTTTATCGCTTTCGGTCTAGCTTTTGTTTTATGAAAGATGTTTATAATAGCTACATTTTTATGATCAATAGTTGTGGTGACACAGGTTTAACTTATTCATCTTCATTTCCAACCGTAAACTTGTATTCCAGTTCATTCAATGTTTTCGCACACGTGTAAAATGTAATGCAACCCATTCGCTAAGTACACGTCAAGTCGATTTTGAGCGTCACTTTTGTATAAAAGTCAGTGACACTTCGTTTATATCAGAAAAAGTAAAACTGTACCCGAGGCTGAAACTAATTTGTTGAGTTCAGTACTTTAATCACCAATCCACCTAACACATACGTATCTCTAAACGCTCATCATTTTATTGAACCTGATCAATAAATTGATTATTTACTTGCTTGTATAAGTCGTACCCTACTGTATGTGTTGTGATTTCAATAAACAAATGTCTTAATTTATAGTTGGTTATCAGAAGGTACAAATGTTCCTTCAGGATTAAGTTGCATTGACACCCGAACTAATAATAGGAAGTGAAGTAATTGAGCATGTCGACCGCTTCACTTATCTTGGGAGTCTCATCAGCCCTTGTGGTCTGGTGTGCGACGAAATCTCAGCACGGATACAGAAGGCTCGACTAGCTTTTGCCAACTTGCGTTATTTATGGCGTAGGCGAGATATCCGTCTATCAACCAAAGGACGTGTTGACTGAGCAGCAGTTCGTTCCGTCCTACTTTATGGCAGTGAAACATGGCCGGTAAGAGTAGAGGACATTCGTAAGTTACTATTTTTCGGTCATATATGTCTTCGAAGCATTGCTCATATATCCTGGGACCACCGAGTAACTCAGTTGTTAGGAAACGGGTACTAGGTAAGGATGGTAAATCAATTGAAGTAGTGAAACTTCATCAGTTGAGATGGCTGGGACAGATGTTACGTATACCCAACCACCAAATGCCCCGACGTGCGATGTTTTATGGTGTACGAGTAGGTCGGAAGAAAGCTATGGTCGGCCAGACCAAAACATGGCACAAATCCATGAAGTCATTAACAAGTGGGCTGAGCCATGTGGGTAGGTGTAGACAAAATGGTTGGGATCCACGAGACGATAGCAAACAATGGTTAGAGACCTTGATTGACATGGCGCAGGTGCATCCACTCTTTGTGTTTTCCCAAATTCTAATCTTCTGAATTCTTCATGTCCTCTTTCTTTTCTTCCCAAATTTATTTCACTGGATTATGCTCCTTAAAAAATATCTTCAAACCCTAATCTTTCTAATTACTGCTTATATTTTTACTACCTCTATCACTAGGGGATTTGAATCGACAACTGCATATCTGTGCTAATGTGGCGTGGCAACTCCAACTGATATACGTACGTACGAAATTCTACGTTGTTACTGACTGACTGACCAGGTTCAAATGGGAACTTTTAGGTTCTGTAACATTTCTGGACATATGAGGTTTGTTTCGAGGGGCGCACTTACATAATTGGACAAAATATCAAGTTCATTTAAGCTGAAATGTCAAAAGTGAGTCAAACAATACACCAAATTGTTGTGGAAATTTACTTTTACCAAACAAGTATACCAAGTACTCGTTCGTCCATTTATTTATGGATAATGCTTGTCACCTGATTTGCACGGTACGACCCATAAAGCTCGTAGGGCGCACGAATTTCGTAGCTCATTCTCAATTGGTTTTTTAAGACTAAAAGTTACATATTAATTCTCCCTTTCCCATAATATTCTTGCATTTTAGATAACCCAGCAAACTGAACTTCTAACAAAACTACATTATCCGTCATCTGTTTTTTGATTACAAAACAAATTTCTGTGTGTATAACCAGTCAACATAATAGGAATTATACCTGTAGCGCTAAAAGCAATTTCCAATGTGTATTCCTCATTACTTGATTGTCGGTGGTGGTTTGTCCGGTTTAGTTACTTCTTACCTCATCTCGTTAACCCGACCATTGGGGAGTTACCGTCTAACAGTTTTGGAGAGTAGCAGTAGGTGGGGTGGTTGGATTCAATCAGTTAAAAATATGGATACTGGATCAATCTATGAAATTGGTCCACATAGCGCTCGTGCAAAATCTGCCACATCAGGTCTTTTGATGAGAATAGTGAAAAGTTTGCATCTCGAAAACTCACTTGTATGGATGAGGCAGGGTACAGATGAAGCGAAACGATTAATCTATATAAATGGCCAACTGTTGCCACTGTCTGCGTTCAATTTTTCCACTTTAAAACCATTCACTAGGTCCAACTGTAGTTTAATAATCAGGCGGTTATTTTCTCGACGCCCACCATCTCAATCAGACTGGACTGTTGACGAATTCCTTCGCTCTCGTTTTGATTCCGAATTCGCTGACTACTTTGGCAGTGCTCTGATGAGAGGTATCTTTGCTGGTGATTCACGAAACCTTAGTGCTCGTGCTTGTTTGCCTATGGTAAGTTACCTGTTTATTAAGATGATAATAATTTCAAGAATACAATTATAACAGTTTATTTCTAATATACCCTACAAGTTTTGTAGTGTATTCTCATTTTCATCTACTAGAAAATATGATGGTCGAGATTATTGGCCAGAAAAAATGGCAGGTTCAAAATCACTGTTGATTTTTCAGAGATATTTTACAGTCTTTCAAAGCATACACATTTAACAGGTTAATAGATAATTTGATTTGCTTTCATAACAACTGTTTTCTGAAAGTGCATTAATTTTTTTAGCATCCTGTAAGCTTCGAGTAAAGCAGTTTCTAGAAGTGCTATTAAGTTACTTCGACGTAATTTTGAAATAGGTTTATTTTTTGAGCGTTTTCATTACTATTCACTTTCCCATTATGGAAATCATTGACCAATTTTAGGAAGCTTGAATACCTGTGTATGTTGTATGTAGAAGAAATATTGATCGACATTATCCTTCATGTAAAATGTTCTTTTCAGCTTAGTTGTGGTTGAGACGGTTACCTGATGAGGCTTAATCTCCAAGTATTTGCGTAGGTCGTTGCAATCATTAGTTTACCAGGTTACGAGTTTTTAATGCTTCCATTTGTCTTTTTTGATTCAAAGTTTATGACATCATCTTATGATGTATTCTTTCAGATGGTGAAGTCGGAAGAATATGGACCGAATCTTATTCTCGGGATTTTACTTTCATCGATAAACCGATCTTTAGATCGTATCGTTATACCAAATATGATTGACGACAAACTCCCGCAACTGAATAATTTGATTCCATCTGATGCGATTGCCTGGACTTTATCAGGTGGATTGGAGACACTGATTAACGCTATTGTAGATCATTTAAATAAGAAACATCCACACATCGATTTGAAGTTAAACTCTTCCGTTGAAAAATTAAAATCTCTAAATGGCTGCTTTGAGTATACATACAAGGTCATCGGTGATAATGGTAACGACAAAGAAAAAAATACAGCCGATATAGTCTTTTTTTGCTGCCCATCCTTCATTACAGCAAGCATTTTGGAAAACATACTGACTACTGAAACTCTAAGCTATCTGAAACCCAACTCTATTCCATGGGGAAGTATTGTCAGCGCTGTCTTAGAAATAGATGACTCCTTTACTCCCTTAGTACGCGGGTTTGGGCACTTAGTACCGCGTACGGAAGATGAACATATTTTGGGTGTAATATACGATTCCTTTGCGTTCCCGAAATTGGATGGATTTAATAAAAATTTACGATATACAGTAATGATGAAACCATTTCGTGAATGGCTCGAAGCCTCCACAAGTTTAGGTTCCTCGGAACATCTGAAAAACACCATTGAAGAAGTTGCGAAAACCGTCCTTATAAACCATCTTAAAATACCGGCTCCGGTCATTGTTGGTCGTCATATTAGTATTCTCCGTAACTGTATTCCCCAGTATCCTCCAGGTCATTTAACTAATATGGCTAATTTGCGCAACGGCATTCGGCGAATTTCGAATGGCCATAGTTCTGGCCGAAGTGGTATATATCTTGTTGGTAATTCGTACGATGGCGTTGGGTTGAATCATGTTGTCTATAGCGCTGCATGTGCAGTCGCAGAAGAGTTCAGTTCATCTTCATGAAACTAGTTTTTTAAAACCACTGTTCAAAAACCAACTTATGTACAATACTCTGCTTATTAATAACACTAACGTATGAAGACGTCTGCTAGAAGATTATGGATGTAAAATAAACCATATACAAAAAAAAGAACCTGTTTCCGGTTTTTATATTAAAGTTACTACATGTTCATTCTTTTCTTCAGCACATAACAGGATCTTGCAAATTTGTAGTTTATCATTAGAATGCTTATCATATTGTGCAAATATATCTCCACTAAGTGTTTTTTATTTTTTGAACGGAGCGTTTTGGAAACTGAATTGAATAGTTGGTAACGAAGGTAGGTATCTCTTGATAAGACAGCTTCCGTAATTAGAAGTTGTTTGGCATGTGTGAAGAAAACTACAAAACGGGCAGATCTTGATTACCAATGAGAAAAGTGAATTATTTATCAAATGGATGACTGTAGAATTGGTTTAACATTACCAAAAAACTATTATGCTTGATTTCAATATTTATATCAGTCATCCGACAAAAATTTATTAATCCACTTGTTTTGAATCTAAGATCAGAAATATTGCTGTTCATTTCAGGTTCTGCAGGAGATTTTGAGTGATTCTGTTCAGTAGTAAGTAACTGAATTATTTCTATACCTAAGCTTAATTAGCTTATCATTAGTAGTTACTTATTTGAACACATAAAGGTTTGTACAAAAGGGCACCAGAATATATATTTGCCACACAAATCATTTAATTTATGTGTGGGTTGGAATACTTACCGGGTCCCCGAAGCGAAGCAGTTAGTTTTCTTAGGAGGACCACTCCCTTACTTTTTGACCTAGAGGTCTAATCCACAAACCAGTGTAGCGAGGTTAGAGGATGAGGTCCTGTGGTAGCCGGTGACGAAGAATAGGTTCATATGCCATTTTCTCCCTCAGGATCTTGGAGTCCATGTTCACCATTGGTTTAGAATCAGGGCTTTTCAACGCCCTTAGTTGGATCTTCCATACCCACCAATCGGGTTTAAGCGCCGGACATCAACTTTTCATCCTCTCAATTTCCTAGACACGAGAATAGGACTTCCCTGCCAACGGATATATACCTGTGGCTGTATGACAGCGTTTCAAAAGGGGGGGTGGACTCTTCCAACCCTCGGCCGTACCAGGTCATTTGCTTAAGCTAGTTGCGTTAATAGCACATTGTATTGTTTAGCAAACTTAAACGTCTAGTCACTTTAGTTCTTCAAATGTGGGGTGCGATTCTACAAAAGGAACTTAAAAGTGTTAGCCTGACTCAGTTTGTAAAGTCCTTATATCTTTGACTGCTCGATATTCCCAGCGTCCTTTAGGAAGGAAACCTCGTTCCAGAGGGATATTGCATTTCCGCCGTCGTCTCACGTTAGTATTCTATTATTTTGCTAACAAAGGATTATTAAGTGGTCATCAAGTAAATCCATTGTTCCTGATACTCGTCTGTTCGAATTCAGTTGACCTTATCCGATCTTGAAATATATCCCTATATTGTAATAAGGATCGCTTGTTGTCATGGGATTCCCCTCCTTTCATGATATAAATTGGTCAAAGAAATATGTCAGTCAATCACGTAGCGTCCTGTTTCACGCTCTCAGTCATAAATTCTTGCATTTTTTTTAGCTTTCCTCCTTTGATCTGTCCATTGTTGTTAGTGAGTACTTTTTGACATTAATTTTCACTGTGCAGAAATTTATCTTCATGTGGCTTAAAAGATTTTGAAGGTGTTCACACGAGTTAACATATAAATGTTTAACTCTAGAACACATAATTTTTTCTAATATTTAGTGCCTTCATTAATGTACATCGGTTTTACAGTCACCACTATTGTTTCTAGGTTGTAAGCAACTGACAAGAATTCATGAAATAAATGGATTCATATTATTCTACTATGATTTTTTCGCTTTATTTGGTTTTACAAGCGAGAAAAATTCTATGAGATAGTAGAACTAAAGACTTCAACATTTTTCATTATGATGGTTTATGTGGGGGTAGAAGTGAGTAATTAAGTGGAATTCCTGTGAAACTGGCAGGAAAAAGAAGATCAGATGCGATTTTTAAACTTGCATTTAATTATGCTGATAACTTCCAGCTTTTATCCAGAAACAATATCAGTAATTATTTACATGTATTCATAGGGACTGGGATTTTACCAACCACTCGTTTGCCTAATTGTTGTGACCACCATAAGCAGAGATGGATGTTGGCTAGCAGTGGAGTCCAGGACTCCGGTTTCGCCCTATTTGTGGCTCGTGAGTTGGATGGAACTACATCTCAGAGTAAATGTACACTTTGGGACTCGAACTTACGCAATCCGCACAGGATGGGCATATGCCAATAATCGACTGGTCAATTGCAGTCCTAAATATCAATGGAAAGATTCGAACAACCAATACAAAAATTGTATGGCCGCTGTTACGACGGGAGATTTGAAGCAGCACTAATAGCATTGTTACTTCCATCTTCATATTTGGTTAATTATTTGTTATCTGATAGGTTAACACACTACTTTGGCTGAGTTAGTCAACAACGTAGAATTTCGTACGTACGTATATCAGTTGGAGTTGCCACGCCACATTAGCACAGATATGCAGTTGTCGATTCAAATCCCCTAGTGATAGAGGTAGTAAAAATATAAGCAGTAATTAGAAAGATTAGGGTTTGAAGATATTTTTTAAGGAGCATAATCCAGTGAAATAAATTTGGGAAGAAAAGAAAGAGGACATGAAGAATTCAGAAGATTAGAATTTGGGAAAACACAAAGAGTGGATGCACCTGCGCCATGTCAATCAAGGTCTCTAACCATTGTTTGCTATCGTCTCGTGGATCCCAACCATTTTGTCTACACCTACCCACATGGCTCAGCCCACTTGTTAATGACTTCATGGATTTGTGCCATGTTTTGGTCTGGCCGACCATAGCTTTCTTCCGACCTACTCGTACACCATAAAACATCGCACGTCGGGGCATTTGGTGGTTGGGTATACGTAACATCTGTCCCAGCCATCTCAACTGATGAAGTTTCACTACTTCAATTGATTTACCATCCTTACCTAGTACCCGTTTCCTAACAACTGAGTTACTCGGTGGTCCCAGGATATATAAGCAATGCTTCGAAGACATATATGACCGAAAAATAGTAACTTACGAATGTCCTCTACTCTTACCGGCCATGTTTCACTGCCATAAAGTAGGACGGAACGAACTGCTGCTCAGTCAACACGTCCTTTGGTTGATAGACGGATATCTCGCCTACGCCATAAATAACGCAAGTTGGCAAAAGCTAGTCGAGCCTTCTGTATCCGTGCTGAGATTTCGTCGCACACCAGACCACAAGGGCTGATGAGACTCCCAAGATAAGTGAAGCGGTCGACATGCTCAATTACTTCACTTCCTATTATTAGTTCGGGTGTCGATGCAACCCAATCCTGAAGCGAAATTTTGCATTTCGAGGGGGAAACTCGCATCTCGAACATGTTTGTATTGTTGCTTACGGTAGTCAGAAGACAACATTTTGTCAGCGTCGTCATCAAATAGAACTATGTCATCGGCATATTCTAAGTCAACAAGTGAATCTCCCTGTAGAAGTTCAACTCCTGGAAATCTAGACGAGGAAGGTGTTATCTCTAAAAGTACGTCAATGACAAAGTTGAACAAGAATGGAGAGAGTGGACAGCCCTGACGAACACCACTTGAGGTAATCAATCCTGATGACAGTTCGCCATATGCTCTCACTCTACCAGTTGTGTTCAAGTAGAGAGCCTTTACAAGGTTAGTGTGCTTCTTTGGTACTCCTTTCATTGACAAACACTGCCATAGAACCTCACGATCAACAGAGTCAAATGCCGCCTTAAGGTCGAGAAATACTACCATTGTGGGACGTCTGAATGTGTCTATGTTCTAGGACCTGACGTAGTGTGAATATCTGGTCTATACAACCACGTCCAGGTTGAAAGCCGGCCTGGTTTTCTCTAGTCTGCTCTTCACGAGCTTTAGTTAGCCGTCGATGTATTATTGAAGCTAATATTTTAGACACCATATTAGTCAAACTGGTTCCTTTGTGACTGTCACAAGAGGACTTCCTTTTTTTCTTCCTTTTTTATATACGCACAATGAGTGATTGAGACCATTCAGATGGGATTACATCCGGTTCCCGGATTCTACCTAAGACCTCAGTCAATCTCGCTGCTAATACTGGACCGTCATCCTTGAAAATCTCAGGGGTGAACCTGTCAGTGTTCGCTGCACTCCCACGCTTCATATTTCCTATAGCTTTTTTAACTTCGTAAAGAGTTGGAGGACTTACATCAACTTGCCATTCAGGTCAAATGGATATAGTGGGAAACCGAAGTGTGGCTGAAGGCCAGTTCAACCGATCCCTAAATTGTTCTGCCCATCTATCCAATCTCCTGGATTGAGAGTGAATAATATGTCCAACTTTTCCCAAGATAGTTTCGCTAACATTTGGGTTCCTAGCACCAGTTTCCTTGACAAGTCTGAACAGTCGTCTGTTGTTGTCTATTACCGCTGCCTTTCCATCTCTTGCTTTCACTACCCACCACTGTTTGCAACCATTGCGTAGACTTTTTATCAGCCTGCGCTCAAGCTGACTCCGCTCATCGTCATGTTCAGAGCCAGATGGGATGAGTTTTTGAACATCTATCAGTGCGGTAAATGCTGCTGAGATCCAAAGTTCCTCCATAACCTTATGGTTTACCGTACTAGTAGATATCACTGCTGTTTCCACAGCTTTTCGGATATCATTCCATGCTGCTTCAGGGTGGGCATCACTTACATGACTGCCTAACTGTTTTTCTAGTTGTACCTGAAATATATTCTTAGCTTGGCTACTTTGGCTGATTATTCCACTTACAATAAGTGGCTTAAATTTGGTGGATTTTATGGACGAAATGATGGTGTATCTATGGGGTCATCACTCGCCTCACTTCTAGCCGAGTATTCCATGGTCTGGTGTGGAAAACGCTGCACCTAAACCCAAAAATGGCAGCCCTGGTACGGCCAAGAGTGGGGAGAGTCAGCTCTCCCTCTCGAAATGCTCTAACATGGCCATGTGCATACATCCACTGCCAGGGAAGTTTTACTCAATACCTTCCCGCGTCGGGGGTGGTGTTTACGAAATTGAGAGGATGAACAGCGAATATCCGGAGCTTTTGCCGAGTTGTTAGATACGGAGGATACATCCAGGGGAGTTGGGAACACTGATTTCAAACCAATGGTGCACATGGGCCCCACGATCTTAAGGAAAC